GGGCAAGAGATGTGCTCTGTGTACAAAGCAAAGAGCAACACAGTGACTCCTGGTGGCAAAGCGCACAAACCCACAGTCACCTGGGGAGGGGGAACCCATGCTCATGGGACAGAGGATGATTCGTGCTAAATTCCAGAGCAACCGTCCTGCTAAGACCATTGGGCACAGAATCCATGTATTGTTGTAACCCTCCAGGATTTAAACACATTGGAGAGTAAGTAAATTACAGTGGATGCTGTCTTGTAAAAAAGAAAAAAATGGCCCTATGGTTTGGCTCATTGGATAGAGTGTCGGCCTGCGGATTGAAGGGTCCTGGGTTCGGTTCCAGTCACAGGCATGTACCTTGGTTGTGGGCACATCCCCAGTAGGGAGTGTGCAGGAGGCAGCCAATCGATGTTTCTCTCTCATCGATGTTTCTAACTATCCCTCTCCCTTGCTCTCTGTAAAATCAATGAAATATATTTTTTTTAAAATGGAAGAAAACACTTGATTAAGACATTACTGCTCAGTTCACACAGGAAGCAGGTGGGATACAAATATTTAAATAAAGGGGGTTTTCTCAACAAATCAAAGCTCTACACCAAATCATGGCTTCTTACTGTCTAGGAGAAGCCATGGTCCCCGGGGGACAGCTCTGCTCCAGGAACGAGGGGCCCTGAGGGGCAAAGTGACCCTGAGGCTGTTCCCAGGATGGAGGGGCTGGAGTCTGTGGCTGAGAAAAAGGGAAGTTCATGAACAAACATGTGATAGAAAGATAACCCAGATTCTGGGGCCACAGAAGGGACCTGTTTACTTCCCTTATTTCCCTGCATTTCCCCTCTGTGCTCACTGTCACAGGGACATCGCCCTGAGCTGCACAGTTGGAGGGTGAGTGTGTCCCTGCTGATCTGAGCTCTGCAGGCCACAGGGACCCATGTCTTCCTGAGGCGTCTCCAGGCCTGGGTGGCACTGTCCATGGTGAGGACCACAGGGAGGTGGTGATGGACGGGCTGAGGAGGAAAGAGACCCCGTGGGGGAGGCTCTGACAGGGAAGGACGTGCCCTGGGTCACCTCCTCACCTGCAGGCGTCTCAGGAGGCTGTGAGTTTATTTCCTGCTTCACCATGGAAATGAGAGCCAGGCTGCTAGAGAGGGTGTGCCCTCGCCTGCAGGCTGCTAACGTCAGAGCCCCATGACAGGGAGGATCAGCCTCCAAGTGACCACCACCCTTGCATCTGTCCCTCTATCCTTCTAGAACCTTGGCCTCCTCCATCTGCTCAGCTGAGGCCACAGAAAGAAGACGCCATGACCGCCACCCTCAGGGCCCTGCTCTGCCTCGGTGAGGTGGGAGGGGGGAGGGGAGCCCTGGTCATGCAGGACCCAGGACTCAGGAGGCTCATGGGGAGGAGGGTGCTGCTCAGGGTTCAGGGCAAATCTCTCACAGGGACTCTCTTCCAGGGCTGAGTGTGGGCCTCAGGACCCCAGTGCAGGCAGGTGAGTCTGTCCCCAGGTGTCCCAGGTCCCGCTGTTCTCAGGGGACATGGGCCACCCCCCAGGCAATAGGGGAAGGGGCGCAGATCTGTCTGACAGATGGGGGGCATCTGGGACTGTGACCTGTGGACCAGGGGTGGAAATGTCCTGTGACCCAGCCTCTGATTCTTTCCAGAGACCCTCCCCAAGCCCACCATCTGGGCTGAGCCAGGCCCTGTGATCCCCAGCGGGAGCCCCATGACCATCTGCTGTCAAGGAACACGAAAGGCTAAGGAGTACCTAATTTATAAAGAGGGAAGCCCAGCACCATGGAAAGAACAGAAGTCACTGAAGCCTGGGGACAAGGCCAAGTTCTCCATCACACGCATGACAGAGCGTGATGCAGGGAGATATCGCTGTTACTACCTCAGCCCCACTGGCTGGTCAGGGCACAGTGACCCCCTGGAGCTGGTGGTGACAGGTGAGAGGACACTCAGGGGTCCCAGCCTCAGGCTCTGCCCTCAGGAAGGCGGTCTGCTCTCAGGGTGTCTCCCTCTCACAGCCCAGCCCTGGGGGACATGAGGGAGGTGTGAGCCCATTTAACACACTGTCTCCTCCTCCCCTAGGATTCTACAGCAAACCCAGCCTCTCAGCCCTGCCCAGCCCTGTAGTGCCCTCAGGAAGGAATGTGACCCTCCAGTGTGGCTCAGGGCAGGGATTTGACAGGTTCATTCTGACTAAGGAAGGAGATCACAGGCTCTCCTGGGCCCTGGACTCACAGCCACATTCCAGTGGGTGGTCCCAGGCCCTGTTCCCTGCAGGTCCTGTGACCCCCAGCCACAGGTGGATGTTCAGATGCTATGGCTGTTACAGGAACAGCTCCCAGGTGTGGTCACACCCCAGTGATGACCTGGAGCTCCTGGTCTCAGGTGAGGGCCCCTGACCCTGTCTGCTGAGCTGTCAGCTCAGGGTCCCCTCCCCAGAGCAATCATGGGCTGAAAGGAAGGGAGGGGCTGTAGGGATGGTCACCCAGAGAGATCTGCACCTCAGACAGCCCCTGTCCCCTCCCCAACTCTCCCCCTCACCTGGTCCTGAAGTGCCAGGTGGGCAGTGGGAGAGACTTAGTGAGGACTCTGTGGAGGGGGGCTCCAGGGTCTGCCCCAGGCCGTCCCCCTCTTGCTGTCCTTCCCAGGACCCAGGGGCCCCAAGACCCCACCCAGAGGGTGCTCTCTGCTCAGAGGGAGACAGCACCCCAGGCAGTTCTGAGTCTGAGAATCTAACTCCCCCCATGCGCTAAGGGCAGGCTGTGTCCTAAGGCTGCTAGGAGATGGGGACAGATTTCAGGGAAACACAGGCCTCAAGGGCTCTGAGGATCGGTCTCCCCCACCCAGGGAGTCAGGCCAACAGCGGGAAAGTGGGGGTCTCTGTGTGGAGGTGGTGGGTGCCTCGATGGGGACAGGGCTGAGCCATGTGATGGTTCTGGATCCTCTGAAGTCTCTCACTTGGACTCACCCTTCCCCTGCCTGGGCCTCAGTGTCTCCCAGTGTAAAAGGAGAGAATCCTTGTCCAGAGCTTAGATTTCCTGTCAGTTCTGGCCCTGACCTCCTGGGAGAGGGGCACCACAGGGAAGCCCCCGAACATGATGTTATGGGGCCTGTCCCCTCTGTCTCAGTGACGGTGACACTGTACAGGGAGGGACAGGCAGGACAAGGGTCCGGGCACCCAGTCCTAGCCCTCAGCTCAGGCTCAGCTCAGAGGAGGGAACAGGGTGGATCAGCCCTGGTTCAGCTCCTGGCTCTGCTGCTCCTGCTGTGGGGCTGGGCGGTCCCTTCTCTCCTCTGAGTGTCGGGTTCCTGTCTGCTCATCCCTGGTCCCATCCTGCTCACAGGCTGCTGGGAGATGAGGTGACATAGGGCCTCACAGAGCTCAGGAAGGCAGAGCCCCCAGCCCAGCCCGACCTTCCCAAGGTGTCATTATGGCCTGCCAGGTTTAGATGGAATCCGGAGAGACTCAGAGTCCACACCACACCCTGACCCTCCCTGTCCCTGCTGTGCTTGGGGCAGGTACTGAGGAAGGACCCTCAGCTCCAGATGATAAATGGACAGGCCCCTGCAGAGGAGGATCCCAGAGCACGAAGGTGGTGTCCCCCTGGGGGGAAGCGTGAGGACAGCACAGGGAACCCACAGTCCTGGGTTCCAGTCCCAGCCCTGCCCCGTCCAGGCTGGGTGACCTGGGGCATGTGGTTAACCTCTCTGAGCCTCAGGTGACAATGAAAATAGCAGACCCTGAGAGGAGGGGCCTGGGTGGGGTGGGGTGAAGGAGACCCAGCCCAGACTTTCACCCCTCGTGCTCTTGAGATTCAGGAGCACCTGACACTAACCCCTCCTCCATGGAACCTGGGTCCCCAGCTGTTGAAAATGTGGGATCTCTCAGCTGTAGGGGAATAAGCTCATGGGGTCTTGGGTCTCAGGCTGAACACAGAACACACAGTCGTGTTATTTCTAAATCGAGACCATTTCTTCACCCATCCTCAGTTCTTGGGCACAGCTAACTCTGATCAAGGTGACTCAGAGCAGGTGCTGAGTTCAGACCTCTGTGACCATCTGGTGTCAGGGGTCTCTGCAGGGTAGTGCCTATGTTCTGTATAAAGACAGGCGCTCTGAGCCCTGGGATACGAGGATCCCACAGGACTCCAGCATCAAGGCAGGTGTCCTCATTGGAGCCACGACCTCAACACATGCAGGGCTGTACCAGTGTGCATATTACACCACCGAGGACATACTCTCAGAGCTGAGTGACCCCCTGATCCTGGTGGTGACAGGTAAGGGAGACACCAGGTCCCTCCCCACTGTGGGCTCCAGGTCACAGGCAGAGGGAATACAGTGTGGGCTCAGGGGGACCTCACCCCTCACAGAACACACCTGGGGCGTGAGGGTGACGGTCCCTTTAACACAGACCCTTTCTCCTCCCTCAGGAGTGGGCAGTGCACCCTCCCTCTCAGCCCAGCCAAGCCCTGTGGTGTCCTCAGGAGGGAACATATCCCTCTCCTGTAGCTCACAGCTCCCATCGGGCCATTTCCATCTGCTGAAGGATGGAGGGGCTGACCCGCCCCAACACATGGAAGCAGAACCCAGGATGCATGCTGGGAGGTGGCAGGCCCAGGCCATCTTCCTTCTGGGCCCCGTGAGCCCCTCCCATGGGGGGACCTACAGATGCTATGGTTCTTCCAGCTCCTACCCCAACGTGTGGTCACAGCCCAGTGACCCTCTGCACATCGAGGTCACAGGTGAGGGACAGGCCAGGGTGCAACCCCTTCTGTTTCCTGGGCCCAAGTACCTGACCTGAACTGGGTGCCTAGCGGAGACCTGGGCTCATGGGGTCAGTGACACTGGCCTCTTTTAGACAGAACAACAGACGGGAGGCTCAGGAAGAGACGTGAGACCTCTCACTGCAGCCCAGTGGGCGATGTGGGATGTCCCCTGGTGCCACTGTGCCCTCCTCCCAGGTGTGCACAGGGAGCCCGCCCTCTCAGCCCAGCCAGGCTCGCTGGTGCTGCCTGGACACAGCCTGACCCTCCAGTGCCACACGGAGGCCGGCTTTGACACATTCGCTCTGACCAAGGATGAGGGGCTCGCACCCCCCCAGCGCCTCGATGGGCAGCACAGCCCCCTCTTCCCCCTGGGCCACGTGAGCCACACCCACGGGGGCCGGTACCGATGCTACAGTGGACAC